GAGCTCCCTGAAAGACTCTTCAGCATTAGTGGTTCCACCAGGGGGAACTGACTCAGGCTCTTTGCAGCTTCTCTAAGCACCCCCGGGGAAGGGTTTAGTTTGCCCTTCTTGATATCGCTATTCCTCTTCTCCCCAGGGGGACTCTCCCTCACTGGAGACTCTGAGAAGGCTCATCCAAGAAGAGTTAGGAAAGCAGCTAGATGGTAAGTGTCGATACCAGGCAAGCCACCCCATGTCCAGGGCTCCAGAAGATGCTTTGTACAGCCCCAGCTCATGTGCTTTGTGTCCTCAAGCATTGAAGGACAATTTTCAGAGGGAAGCAACTTGAGAAAAGGGCAACTTGTGAAGTGAAATTGTCTTGGCCAACGTTCTTCTAGTTACTGAGACGGAGGATGCTTCTGTTAGTACAAGGACTCGCCCCCTCCAGCCCACGTTCTCATTTTACCCTATTGGGAACAGAGCCTGTTGCCATGGAAATAATTATGATGTCACAAACTCAGCTTTGCCTGAATGCCGGCCAGGTAACAATGCAGCGGCAGGAAAGGAAATAACCAGTCCTACAAGCCATGTGATGGGGATTAGGAAGAAAAAGTCTGCAGGAGAGATTCAGAAAATATTCTTGACTGCAGGGACAACAGAGTGGTTGGTTAAAGTGATCTAAGGCTTAGGAGATGCCCCATCCTGGCTGGTACTGCAGGACTGTATGGGGAAGCAGTTTGAAAAGTACAAAGAGTTCGGCAGTGAAAACATGATTTTATGTTGGCCCTATTGCCTGTGATCGCTTGGCTTTGTCTCTCAGAGCCTTCTAACTCAGCAATGGGCACCCTGGGCTAGTGAGTGGGCTGCATGAGTGGCCCTTCTTCAGCTCAGAGGGCTGCAGGATTGTCGTAACCAAGATGGTCTCCTGGGAGCTACACTTGCTAACTACACTTATATACCTAGAATATAATTTGCAGGGTGTGCCGTTTGAACGTGCTTTGATTGAATGCAGAGGGAGCACACAGCTCTCACACTGTTGTGTGCAATCAACACCTACCTCACTTCACATGCCCTTGCTTTGTATGCATGTCAATTCAGTAATTTTGGTAGGGAAAACCCCCTCCACGGAGGGGCACCCGCAGAATCTGGCAACCCTGTGCATAGGCAATAGAAAACACAACGTATTATGGGCCACACACAGAACCCTGATGGGCCACAGGTTGCCCACCACTGTTCTAACCTAACAAAACCACCTTTGTCTCTATCATCAGCCAAACTAGCCTACCTCATGGCTCAGATGCAGCCAGCACATATTAAAGCACCACAAGGCAGACCAGGGCCTCCGGGGCCTCCTGGCAAGGAAGGACTCCCAGGAAGACCAGGCCCATCAGGAGAACCAGGCCGGCCTGGACAGACAGGGTCTGAAGGACCCCCCGGCCCAGTGGGTCCAAAAGGTGAGTGAATCAGAGAACATATTGAGGCAGCCTGAATGCTGAGGTACTTGTCCCAAAGCTTTGTGGCTTGTTGTGCGTTCTGAGCTCCCAAGGGTTCTTAGAGAGTAAGTATGGGAGGAGCGAGGGGAATAGAGCAGCAAGAACTGCTTTGTTCTGCTGCTTTTAAAACAATACTTGCCCCTTTTTCAGTATTTGCAGAGAACTCTTTCTATCAGTTTTTTTTTCTTTGTTTCCCAAACCACAGTTCTCAGAAACATCTCGGGTGCATCTAGACTGGCAAGATTTTGCACAAAAGCAGCCACTTTTGCGCAAAAACTTGCCAGCTGTCTACACTGACCGCTTGAATTTGCACAAGAGCACTGACTTTGTAATGTACAAAATCAGTGCTTCTTGTGCAAATATTTTCAAGCTCCCTCTTGGGAAAAAGCCCTCTTGCACAAGAATACTTGCACAAGAGGGCCCATGTAGACAGGGAAGAACTGTTTTGTGCAAAAAAGCCCCGATGGCTAAAATGGCGATCGGGGCTTTCTTGCGCAAAATCGCATCTAGAATGGCCACGGATGCTTTTGCACAAAAGCACTTTTTGCGCAAAAGCATCCATGCCAATCTAGTCGCGCTTTTGCGGAAATACTTTTAATGGAAAAACTTTTCCATTAAGAGTATTTCTGCAAAATCATGCCAGTCTAGACGCAGCTCTCTGGCTTAGGAATAACAAATATGTGTGCGGTGTAAAATGCATCCTGAGAATTTGGAGAGAGCCACCCTTTATGTAAGTATCCCGCTGATCTGTGGTGTCATGTTATTGCTTTGGGATGACTCTGAAGTGCTTAGTACAATGAAATAGCAGCAGGACAAACAGCTCCCTGGGATTTTTATTGGGCAATTACAGGGTGTACATAAAAATGGCCAATCTGGGTCAGCCCAAAGACCCATCTAGCCCAGTGTCCTGTCTTTTGACAGTGGCCAATGTCAGATGCCCCCGAGGAATGAGCAAAACAGGTGATCATCAAGTGATCCACTCCTTGTTGCCCATTCTCACCTTCCGATAAACAGAGGCTAGAGACAACATTCCTACCCATCCTGGCTAACAAGCCACTGATGGACCTGTCCTCCATGAAATTATCCAGTTCTTTTTTCAACCCTGTTAAAGTCCTAGCCTTCACAACTTCCTCCAGCAAGGAGTTCCACAGGTTTTCTGTGCATTTCGTGAAGAAAATCTTCCTTTTGTGCATTTTAAATCTGCTACCTATTAATTTCATGTGGTGACCCCTAATTCTTATGTTATGGGAACAAATAAATAACTTTTCCTTATTCCTTTTTTCCACACCAGTCATGATTTTATAGACCTCTATCATATCCCCCCTTAGTCTAAGCTGAAAATTCTCCCTCTTATTAATCTCCCCTCTAATGGCAGCTGTTCCAAACTCCTAATCATTTGTGTTGCATGCTTACATGGCTATTTGAGCACTGCACGCTAGAGTGCTGTGGATTTACACCCCAGCTTGTCGCTCACAAGCTCTACACACACAGACCCGTTGGTTCAATAAACAATTGTCGGACCCTGCGAGGGTCTCTCTGGACCCCTCTCTGACCTCCATCCAGCAAAACTCTTAAGAGCCTGAGCAACATGCACTTTCTGAGTCCTCTCACTGCTGTAGGCGGGGCAATCCCCACGTGTCAAATGAAATGTGTGTGGGTTAGGCTCGGCTAGAGCAGGCTCTGAGCGCTCAGCAAAGTGCAGAATCAGGCCCTGCCTGCCTCAGCGGGGAGGAAAACATCTCGTGCTGTGACACAACCGATTTGCATCCCAGGCCCTGGGGAGGGAGCCCATGGCTGCAGCTGCCCAGCAATACAGTCCTGCTAGATGATGAGCTGGACCTTTCCTCCTCTCGGCCTCACCTCGTTTCAGGCTATGGGCCCCCAAGAGCCCTTGCCATAGCAGTCCCTGGCAGAGGAGTCAGAAATGAGACTGACCTTTGCACAGGGCCTTTGAAGAATGCAGAGAGGCATCTAGAGCTCTCCAGCCTCTCCAGGACCAGTCCCAGCCTGAGCCAGCAGGTCTCATCTGTCAGCTAGGAACTGGGGAGCTCTCTGCATAATGTCTGTATTCCAATGACAGCGGGGCCTCATGGCTCCAGACAGGATCAGGGCCCCTCTTTGGGTTGTGTAGATCACACTAACCTGTTTGGGTTGTATCCTGCAGGGGAAAGAGGTGTGAAGGGTGAGAGAGGAGACACCGGCGTTGGTCAGAGGGGTGAAATTGGTCCTCCAGGAATTCCAGGTGGGTTTTTTGTTAATACCTCACTGTGCTCCGTGTACCAGCCTAGAACCACAAGGCAGGCAAATTACCAGCGAGGGAAGTGAGCATTGCTATGAGTGATATGTGGGGAAGTGCCTCCAACTGGGCCTGGCCTGGCGAAATGGGCCTGAGCCACATACCTCCGCACTTGGCTGAAGTTCACCTCCTGATCCCAGAGTGGCTGCCATCAGAACATAAGAATGGCCACACTGGATCAGACCAAAGGTCCATCCAGCCCAGAATCCTGTCTGTGGACAGTGGCCAATACTGGTGCCCAGAGGGAATGAACAGAACAGGAAATTATCAAGTGATCCATTTCCAACCTCTGACAAACAGAAACTAGGGACACCATTCCTACCCATCCTGGCCATTGATGGACCTAACCTCCATGAACTCCTTTTTGAACCCTGTTAAATCCAGGGCTTCATAACATCTTCTGGCAAGGAGTTCCACAGGTTAACTGTGTGCTGCATGAAGAAAAACTTCCTTTGTTTGTTTTAAACCTGCTGCCTATTAATTTCATGTGGTGAACCCTAGTTCTTATGCTATGGGAACAAGTAAATCACTTTTCCTTATTCACTTTTTCCACACACGTCATGATTTTATAGACCTCTATCATATTCCCCCTTAGTCTCCTCTTTTCTAAGCTGAACTTTCCCAGTCTTTTTATTCTCTCTTCATGTGGGACCCATTCCAAACCCCTAATCATTTTTGTTGCCCTTTTCTGAACCTTTTCCAATGCCAATATATCTTTTTTTGAGATGAAGCAACCCCATCTGTACGCAGTATTCAAGATGTGGCCATACCATGGTTATATATAGAGGCAATAAGATGTTCTTTGTCTTATTCTCTATCCCCTTTTTAATGATCCCAAACATTCTATTTGCTTTTTCGACTGCTGTTGCACACTGAGTGGATGTTTTCAGAGAACTATCCACAGTGACTCCAAGATCTCTCTCTTGAGTAGTGGTAGCTAAATTAGTCCCCATCATGAGTCAGTCCTGAGAGTAATGGCCCTCTGTTTTCATTCCAGGCCTTCCAGGAGAACCTGGCTATGGTAAAGATGGGATGCCAGGTGCACCTGGTCCACAAGGAGAAGCAGGGGTGCCAGGCCTCATGGGCCCACAGGGACCTCCGGGAGCCAATGGACAGTGCGATCCTTCTCAGTGTGCTTACTATGCAAGTCTGGCCGCCCGGCCTGGCAATGTCAAAGGGCCCTAAGCAGCCCTGGGGACTTTCTCCAGTCTGCTTTCTAAAACTTGAATTCAGCAAAGCTACCAGGAGCTCTTGGAGTGTTGCCTTCTTGCATTTCTGTATGGGAGGCCTTTGAAATGATCAAAGCCAACATATGCTGCCGGTCGGTCAGATTATTATTATTAATGATTATTTTTATTATCTCTTTGTTGATGTGAGAAATGAGTTTGGTTTTGTTCTAACATCAGGGCAAATTTTAAAAAATTAAAAATAACTTTTTACCTATGATATCGATATCTAGCATAACCGTTGTGGTTGACATGGAACCCATGTGAGGGGTGAAACCTCTGCTCAGCTGGTGAATTCCTTTCCAGGCTTCCTTTCCATGTTCGAATATGAAAATCGCAGTGCACTGTGTGGCGCACACTAGGGACTGTGAGAAACAAGCCGACAGTGGGATTGCTGGCACTAATTGCAAGCTGCTAAAACGCACTGGGGAAAACAGTGCCGTGGGGAGACTGAAAAATAGCTAGTCCCCACTGCGTTCAGCTAACAATGGACAATAAGTTACAGACAACAAGTGTAGGATCTCCCAGAACTATATTCTCCTTGCTCATTAAGGATACCAACTTTAATCATAAATAGCCACTTGCCTGGCTTTTCTCAGCATGAGGAGTGCTCTGCAAACGAGGCAAAGGAGAGCTGAGAAGATGAAGAGGGATTCGGTTTCCAGTAGAATTGTTCTCCCTGTACCCTGTACGTGCTCTTGAGTTCCACTCCAAAAGGCAAAGATTTTATTCCTGGTAACCGGGGCCTCTGCTTGTCCAGGAGAAGCAAGCGGCCAGCAAGTGCCAAGTGCATGCTCCTCGACATCTTCAGCTAGCAGAGTTCTATTGCTGCCCTGCCGTGGGGGCATGGACCACACCCATTAGAGGGAATACAGTGATCTTCCAGTACTTGGCTGGGGATATGTTCTGTAGGAAGTCAGGGGAGGTGATTAGCTTGGTTGTGTCTGGACAGAAAATCTGAGAGGATGTGCAGGCCACTGTTTCTGGTCATCTAGAGGAACACGGTCAAAGTAGTGTAGCCTTTTGGAAAGAGGAGTGGACAACGGGCAGTGGAAAATGTAGTCTTGTCTTTTCCAGAGTGGTGAGTGCAACAAAGCATTTGGAGAAGGAAATTCTGTGTGTATCCCAAGAGGTCAATAACACCTGCCCCCCAAAGCTAGCTCCTAAGCTAACAGGACCGCCTGGCTGCAGAAATTGATGTACATATATACAGAATGAATAAAGATTAGGATTGGCCAGGCTGGGTTTTGGGAAGACAATCTCTTCTACAATAAGTCCTTCCTCATTCTAAACCCCTGCATATCCAGACATACACACGAGACGGATTTTCAAACATAGCCAACACCAGCTGGGCCAGATTTTTGGAAAAACTCAGCTCCTATGAAGGCATGTGAATGAAGTTCCCAGATTTCCAGTGCACAGATCCTCACCTGGTTCCCAATGAGGGTGAGGCATTCTCCAGTGCTCTCAGTGGGAACCGCTGAATGTTGAGTGGTGCTGAAAATCTGAGCAGCTCTTCTTGTTGCCTCAGTGAGAGCTCTTTTGAAACATCCATCCCCAGAGCACATGTTCGCTTGATGGCATTGCCTTCCAAGGTATTGAACCTGACCAGGCACCACAAGCTGGGGGCATGGGTCCATCCCAGACATAGAACCAGTGTGCACGGCACAGACATCACCATTTTGACACATTGGATCCCTTCCCCGCCCCCAACATGGGTAATATTTTGTTTGTTAAACATGAAATAACAGTAACAGATTAAATCCCCTGGTAAAAACCTTGCCTCTGTAGTTTGGAAGTGTGTCACCCCTGTGCAAATAAGCCGTGGCTGTCCCTGTGCTTTATAAAGGCTAGTAAACATGGAAGTTCTATGCAGCAAAGCGTTTGTTGCTTCCAAGTAACTCCAGAGAATGCCTCTACTGGTGCCACTTCCTCGCAGGGCAGCCCTCTGCAGTACACTCAGGCTACGTCTACACGAATGGCTTCTTGCTCAAGAACATCTTTCGCGAGGGTTCTTGTGCAAGAAGTCTTGCGCAAGAAAACGTCCACACTGCCATGTGCCTGCTATGCTTTTGCGCAAGAGCGCCCATGGCAGTGTGGACGCTCTCTTGTGCAAGAAAGCTCTGATGGCCATTTTAGCCATAGGGCTTTCTTGCGCAAGAAACCCCGGCCGAGCGTCCACAGTGCCCTCTTGTGCAAGAGCTTTCACGCAAGAGAGCTTACACCTGTTAAAAAAGAGCATAGACCTTGCGCAAGGAGCCCTCTCTTACCACACCGTACTGTAAATTTCCTTGTGCAAGAGTGGGCAGACAGTGTAGACACTCTGCGGATTCTTGTGCAAGAGCTGGGGGAGGGATAGCTCAGTGGTTTGAGCATTGGCCTGCTAAACCCAGGGGCAAAAATCCATCAGGGATGGTACTTGGTCCTGCTGAGAAGGCAGGGGACTGGACTTGATGACCTTTCAAGGTCCCTTCCAGTTCTAGGAGATAGGCAATCTCCATTAGAACTGCCATATTTGTGCAAGAAGCCACGAGTGTAGACATAGCCTCACTGTATTGTCTCCATTTCAACATCAGAGGCATATCAGTCACAATATTTCACAGCATGATGCTGGGCCAGGCCAGGATTCAATTCCCCTACTCACGTGGGAATGTAGGGCATGCTTCACACCCAACCAAACCCTTGGTAGCCTGAGACCTCATTTCTCAGGTTTTACAGAAGTCAGGCTTTTCCAGCAGCCTGGCTTGTTAACTGGGCCATGCTAATGTGACATTTCACTGCTGTCACTTCGGTAACTCATCAGACTGTCTGTACATCATGTCTGGTGATGTACATTCACATGCCTACACGCGGTACATGGCTGAGAACAAAGCAGCCCTGGTTCCACAGAGTCCGGATCCTGTACACTGGGTGAATGAGCTTCAGGGGGTAGCCGAGTTAGTCTCCACAGAGTCCGGATCCTATACACTGGGTGAATGAACTTCAGGAGGTAGCTGAGTTAGTCTGTTACAGAAAAGAACAGCAAGCAAATGGTCTGGTAGCACTTTATAGACTAACAAAACATGTAGATGGTATCATGAGCTTTCGTGGGCACAGCCCACTTCTTCAGATGACTGGAGTTATGACTAGGGGATAAGAAAACTCGAAATAAATAGGAAAACGGAGGGGGGAGGGAAGAGAAGGATGCTCTGTCACCCACCCCCCTACCTCTATACAGGGAAATGTATAAAAAGGTTCATGCTCAACAAGGTCCAGACCCTTTTCTCTCCATGAGACTATGCAGTGGAATCTAATTTTGAGGGCAGTTGGTACTCGGGAAGTGACTGCTTGAGTTGGGGAGAGGTATTTTACGTTTCTTGCAGTGTCTTGATCTTGGAAATTTACATGCATTTTTTGCCATAAGGCTGCTGTTATTAAAATGAGAAGCTCGATGGGGTAGCTTTAATGAAAAAGGAAAACATGTAAAACATCGGGGTGGGCTTCCTATGCAGGGAAATCACATTAATTCTGCTGGGAGAGGAGGGGGGAGGGAGGGAAGGGGTTCATAGTATTAATGCCACCCTGTGAAGCAGCTCTTCACTTCTCAACAAAACCAGCTCTTATTTCCCACTCCAGGAACAAAGCTTGGGATTTAGAAACAATGATAGCCAGGCGAGAAGGATGGCAAAGCTGAGTCACCAAAGAAGAGAGCTAGTCCTCCCTCCCTGTGTCCATGGACACAACTTCAGTTCCTGGGAGCTGTGGATGGACACTGAGGAGAGAATAGCCTGCAGGAAGAAGACAAGTGTTTCAGCCTAAATACTTCAGGTGAAATTCTGGCTTCTTTGAAGTCAATGAGAATTCTGAGACTGGCTTCAGTGGGGTTAAAATTGCACTCTTAGGGGCATCAGGAGAAGTGACAGCTTCTATGGGCCCAGGGTAATGTGTGGGAGGGAAGCTCCATGACTCCCAGAAGGGGCGGGGCCTCTGGCAGAAGAGGCGGGGCTACGGGCAGCCAGCCCTCAGTGCTGCCCAGACTGTGGAGGGCCCTCAGAGCAGCCTGGAGTGCATGGCATGGCACTCCAGCAGTGATTTAAAGAGCCCAGTGGTAGTAATGGTAGCTGGGAGTCTTGGACCTCTTTGAATCACTGGGCACTACGTCAACTGCCTGTTTTGCCCCTACATCAGCAGGCCTAAGCGGCAGTTAGTTAAAAGGGCTCTTTCAATCACCACTTTTCTGTCCTGTAAAGAGAAACTACTAGACTAATTCTAAGAACAGCTGTTTCTCATTCCAGCAGCAGGCCAAAAATGTCTGCTCTGAAACCAAGTGCCTGCTCTGTGAGAGCGGACCGTGCACAGCCTAATTAGGTGACAGTTTGGGCCTGGTAATAAAACACTTAGGTTACGTCTAGACTGGCATGATTTTCCGCAAATGCTTCTAATGGAAAAGTTTCCATTAAAAAGCTTTGGGGGAAAAGAGCGTCTAGATTGGCACAGACGCTTTTCCGCAAAAGCACTTTTTGCGGAAAAGCATCCGTGCCAATGTAGATGTGCTTTTGCGCAAAAAAGCCCCAATCGCCATTTTCGCAATCGGGGCTTTTTTGCGCAAAACAAATCTGAGCTGTCTACACTGGCCCTTTTGTGCAAAAGCTTTTGCACAAAAGGACTTTTGCCCGAACGGGAGCAGCATAGTATTCCGCAAGAAACACTGATTTCTTACATGAGATCGTCAGTGTTCTTGCAGAAATTCAAGCGGCCAGTGTAGACAGCTGGCAAGTTTTTCCGCAAAAGCAGTTGCTTTTGCAGAAAAACTTGCTAGTCTAGACACAGCCTTATTGTTGGAAGGGCTGGACGGGGACCAAGGCATACATACTCAGACCTGGCTCTACAGGGACCAGTGTACAAGTAGATGAGATTGGTACCCCTGCCAAATTGTTCCCTTCCTCCCTACCTCCCCCAGGGTTGTTTCCCATTAGTTCTGCCCCCTCCCCCCCACACACACACGCCTCCAAACCTTTGACACTGTCAGTGCCCGCAGAAAAGGCTCCCTGGCAGCTCCAGGAAGGCCAAATGCTGCCTGTTGCATGTCTAAGGAGAAACAGGATTGGAACGAGGGGGATTAGGTCCAGTCTGTGCCGAGGAACTGGAGGCACCCCAGGATTACTCCTGCATCCCCTTAGCTAGAGAGTCCCAGGGGAAGTGTCTGTTTAGCTTGTGTCTGAAGCTGCCCTGGAAGATGCCATGGGAAACTCTGCTAGCACATAGTTTCAGATCAGTGGAATTTGACTAAGAAAATTTGACCTTTCTGTTTCATTTCCATCTAACCACTGAGCATCTATGTGCTGGCCATTAAGACCCTAACTAGCACAAAGGGAGCCCAGCGGTTGCTTTCTCTGCTGGTCCCCTGCTCCCATGCTGTCCCTAAGCTGGCTTTGCAGCCGTTCAGTTCCAGTTCCATCCATTTCCTTAAAGCTTACTTCCTTCGTACCGGTCACGGGAAGGCAGGTACCCAGCTCAGGAAGCAGCTGAGCCTGTCTCTGGTAGCCCATATACAAGAGAGGTACCATAGACAAGGAGCCTTGGCCCAGGACTGGAGCTAGGAGATCTGGCCCTGCCACAGACTCACAGTAGGCCTGATCCAGGGCTCAGGGAGGTCAATGGGAGCCTGTCTGTAAACACCAGTTGCCATTGGAGCAGGCCTTGTATGACTGAGAGTCACTTGGGTTGAAAATGGCTACTTAAAAGTAGACATCTAAAGCCATATTGGGGCACGTCTGTGGGCCCTTGTGTGCTGCATGATTTCCTGAAGTGCTGCATGCCCCCAATTCCCCTGGGGAGGTCACTTAGGCCCCAGTTCTGCTAAATGCTATACCTGTGCTTCAGTTGAAATCTATCAGGCTACTTACAGTGCTTATTGTTAAGCAAGCGTGTAGGGTTTTGTATGGTCAGCAGCTAATTTGGGTGCCAAACGTTCTGCACCCAGCACTGGCATTTCCTGCCTTAACCTGCCTGGGCCACTGTGTCTCTAGCTATAAACTAGAAAAGGTGATATACTCCTTGATAAAGTGACCTGAGATCTCTAGGTTGAGATGTACCACACTACAGCAGTGGGCCCTGTTATTACACCATCTGCACAGCAAGCTGAAATGTATACCTCAGTAGCGCTGCGCCCCTCCCCCCATCACGTAGTCCAGTATTACAAAGAGAGGGTGGACTTTACTGTTTCAATAGGATTGGGGCTACGGACAATATTTTATTTCTATATTAAAAGTGGTGCTAAGTGTATGTGCATTTTATGGCATCAGTGCTTTTTAAATTTTATGTTAATTATTGTGATTGTAATAAAAAGGCTATTATTCCAAACACCCTATAAAATGAGCACCCCAAAATCTTTTTTTTTTGGGGGGGGGGAGGAAATAAATGTGTTTGTTAAATTATTTAAGGATATTTTCTTTGTGGTTTAAGTTGTTTAGCCTGTATTAGCTTTTCACTGCTTCTTTAGGAGTTGGTCAATAATTTTCCCTTCCTGACATTTGTGAATGGTTCTTTTCAATTCAGTCTCATGGTGCTATTTTACTGAGCATATTTTTCCCCTTGCTGTTAATGTGGGATTATTAAACTATTTAAAGTTGACTAGCTGCTCTGGTGGTTTATTTAGAAATGTGTGTTTCAAAAATGAACAGGCTGCTGTAGAAGAGTAAATTGAATTATTTTGTGTTTTCCAATGCAGCGTATAACTCGGGTCCATGTGCTGAGCACAAGACCAGGTGGGAGATGCCCCTAGCTGTAACACTATCAACTCCAGTGGACAGGAAGGATGGCACAATGAGAAAAGTACTAAACTGGGACTCATAAGACTTGGATTTAATTCCATAGACTTCCTGTGTAAGATCACTTGGTCTCTGTGCTTCATTTCCCCCTGGGTTGCTAAATACGCCAAATTGATTAGACAAAGCGATTGCAGTAGATCTAACCTACCTGGAGTTCAGTATGGGATTTGATACAGTTCCACATGAGAAAATATTAAACTGGAGAAGATAAGAATGAATAAAAGAAGTAAAAGGTGGATTAGGAACAGATTCAATGGGAGATTAAAGTGGTTCATGCTGAAAACTGAATTGGCTGGATGGAGGTTACTGGTGCAGTTCCTTGGGGATCAATCCTTGAACCAATCTTATTTAATATTTTTATTTGTGACCCTGACACAAAACATTGGGAGTGTACTAATAAAATCTGCAGATGACACAATGTTGGGAGGTATTACCAATATGGAGGAGGACCAGAATCTCATATAAGACCTGGACAACTTTGAAAACTGGACTAATAGCAAAGGGAGGAAATTTAATAGTGCAAAGTGAAAGGTCCTGCAGTTAGGGACTAACAACAAAAAATTTTGCTATCAGCTGGGGACATGACAGTTGGAAGCAACAGAACAGGAGAAAGACCTGGGTGTACTGGTTAAATTACAAGAGGATCTAGTCACTAATGTGAGCCATGAAAAAATGGTGAATGCAGTCCAAGGATGTGAATGCAGTCCAAGGATGTATCAGGCAATGTATTTCCAGTAGAGATTGGGAGTGTGTGATGTTGCACATCCATATTTTTACAGAAATATGTTTTTGAATATGTATATCCATTACTCAGATATGCTTTATGCAGAATGGGGCATGTAACCTATCGTTGGAAGTCTCGTAATCCCCTAATCATATATATTCTATTTGTGTGCATGTATTATCCCTGTATTTGAAGTTAGAAATATGGAGTATAAACCTATTTATTGATCTAGGAGTGCTAGAGAAAGCTATTAGTGCTACTTAAGGAACTTAATGGCCCAGTGCTCAAGTCGATAATCTGTGAATAATCTTGTTTTTCCTGTAAACCTGGGCTAGATCTGCCGGACTTGCTGGTTCCCTGGGCTAAGAGGGGAGGTGGTTCTACCCCCAGAAGGGACAGGGCTTCAGATGGAAGGAGCAGAGATGGGCAGACAGCCCTCAGCACTGCCCGGAGTGTACTACAGTGGCTCCTCCATCCTCCAAACAGCCCTGAGAGCCATCCAGAGCATGTGGTATGGCACTCTGGTGGTGATTTATAGGGTCCAGAACTCCAGCCACTGCTGCTCCTGAAAGAACAATGGTGGCAGCCAGGTGCCCTGGGCTCCTTTGAATCACCAGGCCCCGGGGCAACTTTCCCTTTTGATCCCCTCCCGTGCAGTGGGCCTGACTAGGGTTAATCCGACCAAGACATGTGACCAGGCCTCCTGATGCTGGGACCCTTTTTTCTGTGGTACTTTTCTGTGAGGCTGTGAAAGAGTTGAAGCTGAACACACAGGATTCCAACCTTGGGCATAATCTATTTAGAGGTAGGAAACCAACCAACAGAGGGTGTTGGCAGTGGTGAGACTTGAAGATATCCCTTGCTTACCACCAAGATGCTTGCTGGAAACAAGACTGAACAGAGGAGTGACACTCAGCCAGAGTGATGGGAGCAAACAATTAGTTTGAAGCTGGAGCTGGAGAAATTTATGAAAAGAATTATAGGATTGTGATTGCAAGGGATCCTGCAACTCGATGATGCAGAAAGACCCTGCCAGGCCAGTGCCTTATGGTCCTAAAAGCCCAGCCCTTGAGAGCCAGAGCCCAACGTCCAGCTCATGGTTCAGATGGGTAGCTGAAGTTGAACAGCGCCCAGACATACAAAACAACAACTTGTATGGGTGTTGCACAGAGTATCTGTGAAACACTGACTGAAGGACCCAGATTCTGAGATACTGACCCGTCTAAGTGTCTAGGAGGCTGCACAGCTACGGTAGTACAATACATATCATTACACCAGCACTGTATTTTTGGACATGTCATTTTTCTCCCCCATGTATAATAATGCAGGATGGTTTTAGTTTGAGTTGTTCCAGACCGTTGTGAGAGCCAGCAGTTCCGGATAGGAATTTTCACATATAAATAAGAAACTCCCTTAGGCTCTTTTTGCTTCAGGTAAATGTTACTTTTCCAAGTTATCATGTCCCTTTCCCTTACAAGGGGATTGTGTTAAATGGGAACCATTAGAAACTGGTGTGTATTTTCCTGATACTCACCTGCTGTGTCATCTGCCTAGCTTTGACTTCACATACATGAACATTTAGGCCCTCCTCTTATAAGAGATATTTTATGTTTCCAGAGACACTTCCACCCCCAGATCTCCAAGCACTTTACAAACGTTCATGAATGCAGCCTCCCAAACTACTGTGTGGTGGGCAACTATTATTGTTCCTCTTACACACGGAGAAAGCGAGGCAGTAGGATGTTCAGGGCCCGATCCAGAGCACCAGCCAAGTCAGTGGACCCCCTATTGACTTCATTGAGCTTTGGGTCAGGCCCCAAGTTTGTCTTGGAGCACCTGCTTAGTAAAACACACAGTCAGAGGAGAGCAGGTGGGCTGCGCCGATCTAGAGTTTCCGGTTTGCTTGCTAAAGTGAGACGCACGTTTTCCCATGGCTCACTGGGTTAGATGAACATCACAGACTCTGAGGAGGTAGTGCCCCTTTTGTGGGCTTGGCTGTGAGCCCGCTGCTGAAAGGGAAGGAATCCAGCTCACCGGGACGACGTGTTTACTTAATGGCCGTAACTGAGCAACCTGAGCACTGAGTATTTGTGTGGTTAACTCGCCTGGCGGAGAAGAAAGAGTAGCATCAGTTGGGGCGAGGCGGATAAAGAATTTGAGAATGTAGCACTCCAGAAAGGGTCTTATTTCTCCTTGTTCCCTCAAATCCATCTGTGGTGGAAGAATGAAATCAGCTCGATCCTTTGGTTCTTTCAATCCAGGGAATGATCCGCAGTGGAAATACGTCACAGAGCAAGACCCTAAGTGTGAAAGGAAGAAGAAACTCAAAATAGAAGGCAAGGATCTGGTGTCGGTGCCTCTGCGGGTCTTTGGCTTGGAAGGCCTTCAGGCCCTGGAGATGAGCCCGGAACGAGAAAGCTGCCTGGAGTACAGGATGGAGCTGATCCCTCGAGAAATCAGCCACCTGAGGAACCTGACCCTCCTTTACATGGACTCCAACAACCTGAAGGAGATCCCTGCCGAGATTGGCACCTTGAGCAATTTGGAGAGACTCACCCTCAGCAACAACAGCCTGCGCTCCCTGCCGCCAGAGATCGGTGGCTTGGGCAAGCTACGCAGCCTGCATCTGGCCAACAACAACTTCACGGAACTGCCTGCCCAGCTCTGCCAGCTGAGACAGCTCACCTTTCTGGATGTCAGTGATAACCAAATAAGCACCCTTCCTCCCAGCATTCAGCATCTGGAGAGGCTGGAGACGCTGCTGTTGCTGTTCAACTCTCTCGAGCAACTGCCGGGGAATGTGTGTATTTTAAGAAACTTGCGCACTCTGTGGCTGGGCTATAACCATCTAAGGGCCCTTCCTGAAACGTTTGGAGAGCTGGTCCACTTGGACTGGGGATATAATTACTGTTCGTGCAATTTTGAGGGGAATCCGCTGGTACGCCCACCCCCGGAAGTGTGTGGTGGAGGCCCCGGAGAGATCAGGAAGTACTTTGCTTCACCCTGTAGGGCATTGGAAGAATAGATGCTAGGGATTATTTGCCATGAAACAGCTGTGAGGGTTGTAGAGAACAGGGGTGGCCACTCACTGACCCTGAGGGGGAAGAACCCCTCTCTGAGGCTGGGTGGGCCTACTGGGTCCTGCCCCTTTAACTCCACAGAGGCCAAAGGGTGGGCCAGGTAGGATAAAAGCCCAGCCTAGGAGCTTAGTAAGGCCCCAGATTCTGGAAGAAGCAGAGTCCTGCCCTGAGCTCCCAAGCCAGGAGGGTCCTGAGGACCTGGCAGAGGCTGAGGACTAGCCCGGACCTTCTTTACCCTGCCCCAGGGTGCAGACTACTACGCCCCTGAGAGCCAGCAGCCGGAGTGGAGCCAGATAGATGCTGAGGGGAAGTCAGAAAGTGGCCCAGGGGAAGCCAATGATTATTAGGCTGATCTAATAACACTTTAGAGTGTGTCAGCATGTTGTGGGCTGGATCCCCAGTGGCAGCTAATGCTGCCACTTCTAGGGCACTGGGCCAGGACACGGTGGAGTAGGGAGGGCCCACATCCCCCCTGCCACACCACATATTGGGTGGCAGCCTCCCCCTTGTGCCTGGGGAAGTGTGTTTGTCTGGCTGCCCCGCCCTGAGCCAGGGCCTGGGCCGTATTGACTTTGGGACTGTTTCTTTGGCTGCCCCACCCTGAACCAGGACCTGGGGTCTTATTGATAATGGGATCGTATTTATATTGCTGCCAGCCTTGCTTTCAGGGCCTGTGGTTTGAACAGAACCAATGGACCCTTATTTACAGGCCAGATCACAGGTCAGGGACCCAGGACTCAAGCGGCCGGCTTACAGGGGTTCATACCACACAAACCGAATCAAGGTGCAAAATGGGTTTTATATGGAAATAGCCAGTAGAATCTCTGTGTAGCTTGAATCTCTGTGTAGCTTGAATCTCTGTGTAGCTTTGAACGACATCTCTGTTATAGTGTATGGCCATCTTTAGGTCCCAATTAAGTGTACACATACTTGCAATTATTACAGGGGTTGATGAGCTCTCTGTGGATTGAGTTGCATAGATGTCTCTGGAAGTGTTATTGCCAAAAGTCCAGCATGGAGAAACTAATGACATCTGGCTCTGAGAATGTGGTGTCAGACACACTTGTGATGGTATATAAGTAATAACAATAGCATAGGGTTGCCAGGTGTCCGGTATTCTACCAGACAGTCCGGTATTTGCGCTCTTTGTCCAGTAAAAAAAATCAGAGAATACCAGACGTGCAATGTCCGGTATTCTCTGATATTTCTGGCTGCGCACCGGACAGAAGCCTGGCGTGGGTGGAGGGAGTGTCTGGAAGGCAGGTCCACGATCAGCGCTAGGAGCCTGTGATTGCGCAGAAGCCCGGTGGGGGCGGCGGGAGTGGCTAAGAGTCTGCCCCCGCAAGCCCGGCACCCTTCTGAAGTGCCCGGAGCAGTGATCGCGGCCCTGCCTACCAGCTGGGACTCCCAGGCTGGGAGGCGGGGCCACCATTGGCACTGGGAGCCTGTGATTGCGCAGAAGCCTGGCGGAGGCGGGAGGAAGGTGGCTGGGAGTCCGTCTGTGGCCACATCTGGGCCTATATTAGATTTAAGCTGAGATTTGGGGTAGGATTTTAGAGCAAACTGAGGTTTGAGTTTGGTTTAGATGGTACCAAAATCTTTAAGATTTCTGCTCCATCCTATCTTGATTTGGCCTTTTCCAGTACGGGGTCCAATGCATAACCAGAACCTCAGGGATGAGATCTGGGTTGTAGGGAGGTGGTGGAATCTCCATCCCTGGAAGTTTTTAACGTCCTGGCTTGGCAAAGTTCTGGCTGGGATGATTTAGTTGGGATTGATCCTGCTTTTAGCAGGAGATTAGACTCGATCTCCTGAGGTCTCTTCCAACCCTATGATGCTATGATCTGAATATTCAAATCCTATCCCCACCCAAAAATTTGAAGGTGGTTACATATGAGGTACCAATTTTGGCCCACCTCTGCTTCCATACATCGATTTGTAAAAACACCAAAAGTTCCATGAACAGAAACATCCACACCTCTGTATGTAATAAGATTATGCCTGTGACATAATAAAGGCCACGTAAATTAAGACTGGCCTTTCTCATCTTCTTGTACTTATCACTGAACACACATGACATCACACCTTGCCATAAATATTGGACACAAAGTTAGGCTCTCTCAAATGGGAGTAGGACACACTGCCCATTTTGCTTCATCCTCTGGAGCCAGTGGCACTCACCCAGTGTAATGTGCTTATAGCTGTGGGCAACACATATGCCTGCCCACATGCTGTCTGTTCCAGGAAGGCATCCTTGGGGTCAGCTGTTAACAGACACACTTGCGGAGCCTGTGTGTCACTCAGAAAGAAACGGGGGGATTTAGAGTGTCCAAGTTGTCAGAAGGATTTTGCCCCATCCAAAGCTGGGGAAATGTTCAGACGCTTTAAAACTAGAAACATCATAATGATCAGTGATCCAGAAATGTTGTACAAATCAAACTTGCTATAAAATACTATTAAAGTGTGTTTTTAAAAAAATAGTGGTCCTGTGGCACCTTAGGCTACGTCTACACTGTAGAGTTTTTGAGCAAAAACTTGTGGAGCATCCACACTACATGCGTGTTTTTGCGCAAGAAAAAGTACAGTAAATCATCAGAAAACAGGGCTTTTTGAGCAAGAGTTATTCCTCTTTCTATGAGGAGTAAGCCTTTTTGTGCAAGAGCTCTTGCACAAAAAGGTGCATGTACACAAACAGAGCTATGTCTACGCTCGCGGCTTCTTGCGTGAGTAATATGCAAATGAAGCTAAGCGTGGAATATCGCCGAGCTTCATTTGCATACCTAATGAGCCACCATTTTTTTCAGAAGAGGCTCTTGCGTGAGAAGGAGCGTCTACACTGCCCCTCCTTGCACAAGAAAAACCCTCTTGCGCAGTGTCGTTCTTCCTGAAAAGTAATAGGTGTAACGGCGTTGCGCAAGAGGGTTTTTCTTGTGCAAGGAGGGGCAGTGTAGACGCTCCTTCTCACGCAAGAGGGTTTTTCTTGTGCAAGGAGGGGCAGTGTAGACGTTTCTTCTTGCGCAAGAGCCTCTTCTGAAAAAAATGGTGGCTCATTAGATATGCAAATGAGGCTCGGCGATATTCCATGCTTAGCCTCATTTGCATATTGCGCAAGAAGCCGCAAGTGTAGACATAGCTCAGGGGTTCCTTACACAAGAAACCCCCATCAGAAAAAGCACAGGTGCTCTGATGGCCAACATCAAAGATTTCTTGCACAAGAGCGTCCGTGGCAGTGTGGACACTCTCTTGCACAAAAGCACATCTCTTATGCAAAAGCACATGGCAGTGTGGACACGCTCTTGCACAAGCACTTTTTGCAGAAAATCCCTTCCGCAAAAAGTTCTTGCACAAGAAGCCTGCAGTGAAGACGTAGCCTTAGACTAACTAACCTATATAGAATTATGAGCTTTTGAGGGGAAAATGCACTTCATGGGATGAACTGGAGACAATTCAAAAACATACACGCAGCTGTCTTGATGACTCAGCCCTTCATCCGTTTTTTATCAGCATTTCATGTTTTCCCTTAGTCTAGTTCCTCTGTCATTCTTTTTAGTCTTTGATTTTATTCTTTCCAAACCCCCTCTCTTTCTTCAGAATTCTTTTTTTTCTTTTCCTTTTCCAAACCTTATGATCTGCCTTTCTTGCCTCCTTCTTGAACGTGTCAGCGATGTTTGGACATTAAGCCTCTAGCTTGGTCGGTTTAGTCTCTCTCTAGCAGGGAAGGTGCATGAGTGAATTTGAGTTAATGCTGACATTCCTTCTGGATGGTAAAGAGGCAACTTCAGACATGCTTAGTGTGAGCTGACTTTTGTTCTCCACTGACACTGAGTCTCTCCCTGGCCCTTTCTGATGCTTCATTAACCTGATTCGGTATAACAATGTGATGGTCTGTCTATTAATGTGCATAATCTACTATATAGTTGAGGGAGTTTGTCTGTTTGTGAGCAAGTGAGTCTGTCTGCCCATCTGTCTGTTTGTTCAAGAACTCCTCCTATATGGTAAGAGTTAGGACCACCAAATTTGGTACGCGGCTGCCTCTTCTCCTAGCTTAGAGCTTGGTTGAGCCAGGACAATGGCCTGTGCCTAGAGGGTGACTGTTTTCATAACATGGAAAGGGAGAGGGCTGCCACAGGGATAGTTATATGGTAGAATGACCCCAAGGGGGCAGCAAGGGGCAGAGATGGGGTCTGGGACCGCTTTAATTCCAGCTGGGCAGTAGGGGGTGGCGAAAAGGTTCCTGTACTAGTGTTGGGCATTGTTGGCCCACCCCTCCCATTTTGGCCCCCATCCTCTAGCCAGATCACTTAAAAATCTCTACAGATGGAGATTCCACCACCTCCCTAGGTAACCCATTCCAGTGCTTCACCACCCTCCTGGTGAAATAGTCTTCCCTATTATCCAATCTACACCTCTCCCACTGTAACTTGAGACCATTGCTCCTTGTTCTGCCATCCATCACTACTGTGAACAGACTTTCTCCAGCCTCTTTGGAACCTCCCTTCAGGAAATTGAAGGCTGCTATCAAATCTCTCCTCACTCTTCTCTTCTGCAGACTAAATAAGGCCAAATCCCTCAGCCTCTCTTCATACGTCACGCGCTCCAGCCCCCTAATCATTTTGGTTACCCTCCGCTGGATCCTCCCCCAATGCATCCACATCCTTTCCATAGTGGGGGGCCCAGAACTGGATACAATATTCTAGATATGGCCTCACCAGAGCCAACTAAAGAGGAATAATCACTTCTCTGGATCTGCTGGCAATGCTCCTCCTAATGCACCGTAATATGCCATTAGCTTTCTTGGCTACAAGGGAACACAGTTGACTCATATCCAGCTTCTCATGCACTGTAATCCCCAGGTCCTTTTCTGCAGAACTGCTGCTTAGCCATTCAGTCCCCAGCCTGTAACAATGCTTGGGATTGTTCCATCC